TTGTAATTATTCCTGCCAGTCTGAGGGCAGAGAGGCTGTTTGGAGGAAGGCGTGGGTGGGTCCTGGCACCTTGAGGAGCTCCAGGTCTGAGGGGAAAGACAGTCGGTCCCCCTCTAAGTCCAATCTGAGAAGGGAGACCTGCCCCACTCCAACCCTGGGAAACCTCCCAATCTGAGAAAGGAAATCTGAGTGCCCAATCTGAGGGCCTCTGTGCTGCCCTGGAGTCCCCTCCATGGCACACCAGCAAAGCCCCGACATTATGGGGTCCCATGGGGACAGCACCTGACCTGGCAGAAAAATGGGCTTGACTTGTGGGCTAAAAGGGGTCCTTCTGCTCCCCCCAAACTGCTTGTCCAAGTCCACCATGAAATAAAAGCTCCTTCCTCTGTCTGGTTCATTTATCTTGGTGACACTCACTGCTCCCACAGGTACCTCTGGCCTTCACCCACCCAACAGGTCTGCAAGCCACATGACAGTCTGTCAGGGTCACATTCAACATTTCCAGCATGTGGCATGCAATAGGTACTCAATCAGTGCTTGTGGAGTGACCATCTTTAGTAATGCCAGGCCCAGTCTTCCCACCTCGTCCCATCCCACTGAGTCAGTCATTGCTCTTCAATGATACTCACAGTGCTTACTAAGGACAAGTATTGTGTCATTCCACTCACAGGAGGTCCCTAGAGGAGTCAGATTCACAGAGACAGAAAATAGATGGTGGGTGATGGGCTGAGGGTGGGGAGGGGAGTTATGTTTAATGGGGTCAAAGTGTCAGTTTGGGAAGATGAGAACGTTTTGGAGATGGATGGTGGGGTTGGCCACACAACATTGTGAATGTGCTCAATGCCTCTGAGCTGTACACTTAAAAATGGTTAAGACAATAAATTTTATGTTATGTGTATCTTTTTTTCCATTGCTTTTCAGAGAGAGTGGAAGGGGAAGAGAGAGAGAGAGAGAGAGAGAGAGAGAGAGAGAGGGAGACAGAGAAACATCGATGTGAAAGAGACACATCAATTGGTTGCCTCCCACACACTCCCTGACCAGGGCCGGGGATGGAACCTGCAACCAAGGTACGTGCCCTTGGCTGGAATCAAACCACAGACCCTTCAGTCTGCAGGCTGACGCTCTAACCACTGAGCAAACCGGCTAGGGCATGCATCTTAACACTATAAGAGGTGGGGGGTAGGGGTAATTGGCTCTCTTGAAGGCATAAGAAAGTCTTTAGGAACCATAAGGGAGGCTTAAAAAATTAGAAGTGCGCTATAAATGCAATATCCTCTTTGAAATTCTTGACTTGTCCTGATTGGCATGTGCTGATGAGGCCAGAAGTGCAACCATTGGAAATGTCTTGTTTTTAAGATTTACTTTTCATCTGAATTCTTTTAATGAGGCAGCCTCCTTAGAAAGCAGAGATAGAATTCTATCCACCTGCCAGGCTTCCTGCCCAGGAGGTATTCAGTGAAAGGTTTAAATAAATTCTTAGTGAAATTCCCCAAAGAGGGCTGGTCTGTCTGGAAAGTGGAAGGACTCCAGGGCAGGCTCTCAGGTTGAAATGAAACCAGGCGGCCCAGTGGGCGGCACTTCTCAGATCTTGTATCTGCGGGTCCCTGGCTGCCCCTCATTCTTTCCTGCGAGGGGTAGATACTTTTCCTTGGTTTTCCCCCAGCTCAGTGTATTATGATCCAGGAAGGGAGGAGAGTTCTCTCCCAGGCCATTAGAAAGGCTGAAATACAAACCGAGTTTCTAACTAAAGTGCCAGAATCCTGCCTCCTTCCCAGGTCTGCTTCTCAGTACTTTTTGCAGCTTCCCCTCTGAGCATCATTCTTGTTTAGTTGACTCCTGCAGGATTGTGGGGTATTCAGGAGGCTATGCCTCGAGGGAACCCCTCTCACGCAAATATTTGGGACATATGTATGCTAAAAAAGAGTCATTCATTGTTTATCTCAAGTTCAAATGTAACTGGGCATTTTGTATTTTTAGTTACTAAATCTAGCTGCTCTTGATGCAGAGACTGTCAGACTGGCCGGCTCTTCCCCCTGAGGGACTTGTAGGCATCCAAGAACAGCAGACAGGCAGGTCCCGAAACGCAAGCCCTTCAGATGCATATGTCACACGAGCTGCTGTCCCTCCAGCTGCATGAAGCACACGGCCAGCCTTGAGTCAGGACAGGAGGGCTGCAAAGGGGCATGGGAGGCCTGAGCCACCAGGAATATTCCTGGAATAATCTACCAGACCGTGGGATCTGGGAAGACCCTTACCCTCCCTGTGCCTCAGTTTCCTCATTTGTACTACAGGATATCAATGGTATAGTATCACCTTCATAGGGCAGTGGTGAGGATTAACTGGTTACTACCTTGTATACAATAAATGTCAAATTCGTGTTGGCTCTGATTAACCATTGTGTGATGATTTGATTCATATCTGTTGCCCCACCAGGCAGGCCACCTGATTGGTGGGGGAAGGGGTGTCTGTCTTGTCCCTGTCATGTACCCAGTGCCCAGCAAACCATAGGTGCTCAGTAAATATCACAGTCTCTCTTCAGTTACTAAGTATCTGGTGCTGTTCAAATCGCTGGAACCCAGCTGTGACCAAGGGGCATGGTGTCCATGCCACAGAGCTAACAGGGATTAAATAATGACACTTAAATGTATGATGTGTGGCTGGTGACAAAACGCAGGCAATGAAAACCATAAGCAGGAACAGAGCATAGGGTGTACCAGGTGGCTTCCTGAGCCAGAGCGGTCAGGGGAGACCTCTCAGAAGAGGTGACCTTTAAGCAAAGGCCAGAATTAGGTGAAAGAATGAGCCAGAGGAACAGAACCAGGAAGCACATGCAAAGGCCATGAGGCTGGATCGTGCCTGGCATGTTGGGGTAACAGTGGGGAGACCTGTGTGGTTGGAGTGGAATGAGTGAGGGGGAGAGAGGGAGGAGGTGAGGGCAAGGAGATGATGGAGGGGGCAGGTTGGGCAGGGTGCCACCGGTAAGGCAGGACTTGAACTTTTACCCCCCCCCCCAGGTGGGA